TGGAAAAATCTCGGAAAAATCGAAAAATTTTTTTTGTTGTTTATTATTAGCAATGTTCTTCCGACGTCTGATTTCTTTTTAAAAAATGCGTTTTTAAAGTGCATAAACCTTTGGGATTGACTGTATAGCCAATATATCCTTAAATAATTTCTTAAAACTTGGCAGTGATCATTCGGCTCATACTACCTTACATGTCACCTACAATATTGCTGCATGACCCTATAAGTTTTATTATTGGCGAAAAATTCCTAATAAATGCAACAATAGCTTTTGCTTGTTTCCTCCAGTTTGTGTTTTGCATGTAGCAAAGAAACAAATAGTTGTATCAAATAAAGTTCAAGGCAAGTTTTGCTGCAACATTATGTAGATACCATTTACTATTGTTTATCTACGATTTTCAAGCTAATTTGACTTGACTAGTTCGGGACTGTTTCGAACAGCGCGAGATCAGTAGTTTCTATTTTGGAGTGAAAAGCCGGTTATGATTAACCAAAATAACCACGTGTACTAGTTTTATGAATTTTATTTAATCTCTATCCTGCAAATCTACTGTTAACAAGGATATGTTTCTCTATTTGTTAAACCAAAACTCTTACTTGTTGTACAATGCTTCGTGACCTCGAAACACCGGTTCTTGACAAATGATGTTTCACACGATTTTACTTACCCAATGTTAAATTATCACTCGATTTAAAGCCCAATCTGTCTCACGAACAATAACGATCACTCTTATGGACATTATGGACACTAAATCCAATAAAAATCGATCCTAAAATTCGACGATCCTTATTGTCACTCGTTGCATTCCGGGGAGATTCACTGCACTGTTTCATTTAATAGATAAAGTTTGTCGAACGATTAACGATTGGACGTTGATCGATAATTAAAATTCTTATTGGTGCTCGCTTCGAGATGGGAGAGAATAGCCAATGATATTTACAGTAGTTTGAAATCTGTATTTAAATTGGCTACTGTAACTCCCTCTCGACGCATCGAAATAAAACATGGATATTGATTTCTTTCGTCGATCGGACAACAAAAACATAACCTACAGCAAATGGCGTCCGCTCCAACAAAGTTATTCCCCTTGGTTATTTAATCATTCCCTTCACTGCCAGTGTTTTTAGCTTAATTTTAACGATATCTCAACATGGACGAAGTTTTAGACGAATCGATCGTAAAAACGAAATATGAATCACGTCAAATACCGGGCTACATAAACGACTTCCCAGTAAATACACGCCTATATTTTATATGTTTTAAGTTACAAATAGAGGTTACAAATATATTTCTATGAATCTGAAATACCAATAATTATTTTTTATTCAAAACGAATGTAACTTTGCCAGAACGATTTCCATATTTTATTGATATTGTTAACTACTTTCAGGCTGGGGTTGGTTACTTTCAACTATTTGCTGCTGTATGCACAGGCTTGAGTCTCGCCGCAGATACTGTTGAATTTTTTGTTGTACCATATATCCTGCCAAGTGCAGAGGTCGAACTGTGCATTGAGGATAATGAGAAAGGATGGCTCAGTCAGTTTCATTTATATCCTTTCCTTCTACTTTGCATTTTCTTATGAATATTATATTCATGGTTATTTTCTAGGCAACATTACGTTAATGGGACTAGCGTTAGGTGGATTATTCTGGGGTGGCTTAGGAGATAGGATTGGTAGACGTAGATCTCTGTTATCTGCAATGTCTGTTCATGCTCTGTTCAGTGGCGTTGCCACCTTCATGCCAACCTATGGCACATTTATGTGCGCTAGATTTTGTTCTGCGATTGGGTAAGACTTTTTTTACTTGTCTTTCGATTACATTGTACAATACAAAAGTTTTTTGCAACAAGCACTAAATGATCCTTATAGATTCCAAAAGGAAATTCAAATGCAGAAATGCACTATCACTGTTTTAAAAAAATAGCGGAATATTTTTTGGAAGCAGTATGTAATGGAGCAATTCCGCTTCCGGATTTGCTTTGGCATGAGAAACTCTACAGTGTGTCCCAGTTTTAGACGATCAAACTTCATTAGTATGCTTTGCTTATGGAAACAAGAAAATATATAAATATAAGCTTGTAAACGTTTCATTAAGAAGTAATATTTGTCGATTTTAAATTGTTACTTTTAAATTTTTGTGTTTCCAAATATACCGTTGATATCTTTCGAATGATTTAGTTTATTACTTTTCACGAAATCTTTGTATCAGTTTTTGCTTCAAATTAATTTCTACTCAATTTTTATTCTTCTCTGAGCTCTCATATTTATCCTATAATTTTTTGTAAAGCATTTGAGAATATATATCTATATAACATACTTTCCTTATTTCTATCCATAGGATATTTTAATGATTTCTGATTGTTTAAAACTGAGATATAAGAATCGCGTAGTGGATATCGCAAAAATGAAAGACGTTTTTTATTGGATTGGCTGTTAACATGAAATAAATTGAATATTTTATCTCACTACAGAGTAGGAGGATCTATGCCATTAGCATATGCATATCTGGCAGAATGTTGCCCAAGATTAAGCAGAAGTAGGTGGATAGGGTTGTTGGTAGCAGCAGGAGCACTAGGTGGTGTCTATGCGGCCCTCCTAGCTTGGGCAGTGGTTCCTACAACCGGCGAAATGGTGGTCCTTGAGAACAAGGAACATTTTAGTGCTTGGCACCGTTTTCTTTTGTTCTGTTGGTTGCCCGCGTTATGCTCTACTCTTGGACTAATTTTTCTACCAGAAAGTCCGAGATATTTGGTAGAAGCTGGCAGAGATGTGGAAGCTATGATGGTGTATCAGGTATTCTTTTCAACGTTTATTTTTTCAATTACTTGTGCTCCCGTTCTGTCAACGTCAAGATTAATATTTTTCTTTTAGAGAATATACAAGAAGAACAATGCACGTAAGGGTGCAACAGGTGCACAGTATCAACTTTCTGAATTAGAGCTTCCAACTAAGAGGCCTCGTGGCTTGGCACCTCCGTCTCCTACTAATCACACTAGCGTTTTGGCTGATATTATTTATTCCATTGAAATGGTAACTTGCTGGAATCGCTAAATATATTTATAATCTTCTGAGTCGGTAATATAATATAATTCCAATTTCCAGTTTTGGAATTCCTTCTTGGAATTATTCATATCCCCTCATTTACGCATCACGATAGTGCTTATAATTATTTGGTCAACTGTGTCATTTGGGTACGTATTTCAGTTGTACAGCCGGGGGAAGGATGTAGTAACTCTTGTAAAAGAGCGGAGTTTCTGTCCCTCATAACAAAAGTGATGATACGCTGTAAACTCAGTAACGTACTGATATACAGTGCTCTTCACTTGAATAGCATCGGACAAAAGTTGATGTATATATGTAAACTCATGTGAAAGGAAGGAATTTCATTGAAAATTCTTGCTTACTAGTTAGATAGGATTTTGAAAAGCTGAAAATATCACATCGATACGTTACTGTGTTTATAGCGTGTTGTCACAACCGAATTTCGTTAAATGTGCGAGGGACAGCAACTCCACAACAACCGCTGTTTTAAGATAGTTGCTATATCTGCCCTCGATTATACTTGATAATTTCGCATCTGTTATAACGCTGTTATCTTACTTTAGACTGTACGGCCTTATGGTTTGGTGCCCCGAGTACCTCAAACTTCTACGCGCTACAGAATACAAAGCTCACACTGAAATTATAGCCGACAAAGCATACCGAGGTACAACTTTCAATGTTTCTTTAGAAAATCGTCAATACAAAGATTCGATTTTCCTCAATTGCAAGTAAGTAGAAATAAAAGCAAACCGGTATCTGACAATGAAATGATACTAAACAGTGGTTTTGGTTCCAGATTCACGAAAATGGTATTCAGTCATGTCGATTTCGATAACTGCACTTTCCATTCCGTGGAATTTAGTAGTATTAAATCAAGTAAAACTCACTTTACGGACAGCATTATCGTACACTCGAAGTGAGTATTCAATACTAACACGATGTCTTTCTGTAGACGACTTAAATCTCCATTAACGATTGAATAGTTAGTTCAAGAAAAGTTTAATTAAAACTACATTTCTGCTCTTAATTTGAATTACAAATATAATTTCAAATCTTAATTAAAAAATTCATCAGTTAACAAATGGAATTTAATATCTAATTACATACAATACAAATTCAGTCAAGAAATAATCCACAGTCTACTCATTAGTATCTAACAGAATTAAAAACTGAATCGATTATTTGCAATTCTGATCTTGTCACGTTCACTTTTTTCTAGATTCGTGGATACTGATTTATCCGCACAAGTCTTTATCAATTGCAAACTAGAGAATAACACGGAGTTGAGTATAAGCGGTCCTTGCCCGACCCTCGATTTGGATTATAACATTTACATAGAGGAAGCATTGCACGGTCATCTAGTTGCTCAATTGGCCTTTGTGCCCGCCGCTGCATTAGCCGGTCTAGCGCTCACAGTACTTCAGCGACCAAAAATGATCGGTATTTCGTTGTTCCTCTCCTCAATAGGTGCAATATGTTTGATCCTTGTGGGCACGAACAGCTCGGCAGTGCTTGGTTTCGAAGGTAGTTTCGCAGCGATATTTGCCATCGCTTGGACTTCGCTCACAGTGGTCACTATTGAAAGCTTCCCTACTCATTTAAGGTGAATATGTCTTTTCCAAGTTCTTACCATTAAACTTACCGACAGTTTTTATTCATAAATGTACTGTAAAATAATCTTTTACGTTTGAGTGGAATTTAGCGTATACACTGGGACTTCAGTTCGGTAGCAGCTTGAATAATAACTTTAACACTATGACGATAGAAATTTCGTTTTGTTCCGACCCAACATTTTCAGTTTCTCACATACCTCTACTTAATTCATTTTACGAATATTCAAGCCGCTGTTTAATTCATCATTACAGGTGTACCAGTTTCGGATTTATAGCGGCCGTTGTAAGGATATGCGGTTTAATAGGGACTACGACTTACAAAACCTTAGTCGGTGCGCCGTTAGTCGCGCCAGCATTGTTAACAGCGTTACCATTGTTAATAGCCAGTGTGGCGACGTTTAAATTGCCGCACACGCATACGGTTTTCTTGTAAGGAATATCGCTAGCCAATGGAGAAATGCTATCGGATGAAAAAAAAAGACGTTTTTAATCTATATTTTAATGGGGAACCAATGATGAGCCACGGTGATATTTTCGATTGTTACACTGGGAAATGTTACGACACGACTTGGAAATTCTTAACGACGAATTTCTACGATAGGAGAAATGAACGAGGCGTTTTCGGACAAGAGCGAATCGTTGAATATTTGCGACTGAACTAGAAATAATTTAATTCGATCGAAGTGCGACTTCGTACAAAACAAAAGTGACATATCCTAAACTAGGAATGATAAATAAGTGGTCTGCGTAAATAAAAATTTGGATAATTCAAAACGCACAGAAAGTGTGTGCCGTGGTAACGCTGCAGCATGGATCTTCTTATAAGACTTTGATACACGTGTTCTATGCGGCGAAGAGGTCATTGTTGTAGCGAAAATAAACCGACGCAAAAAAAGACAAGGTAAGTGCGAACGTTCGCGTATCGCGTTACATGAAGCTTACGATTCATCTAATTGTGCGACGCGACTCTCGACAGAAGTGTCATAAAAAGTCCACATGTTGTTTGTAAAGCTGTATTTTATTAGGGGCTATAGCCACGAAACGTGTCAATTTTAATGGACGTTTTTAAAGGGAGTGGGAGGGGTTTGCTTCGAAAATTGTCACCTATAACGATACACGCCACGCATAATAGGAAATATCAAGGGAGGACCGTTGACAAATTTTGCTTACTGAAAACGCATTTCAATATACATAACTGAATAGAAGCACGGAGTGTTACTCATAACTAATAGTGTATAGATGTTTCTTCTGTTTTCGAACTAGATTAGAGCAATAATTATGCATGATACCAAAATTACTACATTATAATAAGCTGTAATCGATGGAAGAAAAAGTTTGCCAAGGACAGTAAATTTTTATATTTACAAATCGCTACATACGCTTCCGCCATTTGAGAAAATGAAATATCTACGTATACATCTACGCTACATGTATAATGAAAGGATATTAGTGAACCTTGGATCGAGTAATTAAAAAAGCAGTTCTTTCTAAGCTGGATGAAAAATAAACTCCAGCGGAGATACGCATATGTAATGATCGCTTTTTAACAATTTACCGCAGTATCTAAACGCTGGATTCGGCTAATTAAAAAGAAGGCAACGAATGCTGCCGCGTGAATCTTAAACATCTTAAAATCGAAGACTTGAAACGAAACGAGATAGAAATAGAAGCTTCAGCTTCGTTTACGTAAATCCGAGAGATTATCGCCTCTAGTCAACTTTTAACTCGTTTTTAGGCTTACAGGATGCGAACGAAAAAGTTGGACAAACATTTGACAACACAGTAGACTATGAAGATACAAAAAACGTGTACATCGGGGTTTTAATTGTATAAAATTGAAAAAGACGGTTAATTAAATTTTACGAAAATTTTACTAGAATTTTACCTGTCATCGCAGGAACGAAATTGCGACGACATGCCAAAGTTGTATGAAAATAAAAATTAGTTCCTCGACAACGGATGAATATTTTTAGGCAATAAGGGCATAAAATAAGTTTTATCATCACGATTATCGGTGTACGTCATTCTTATTGCAACTTAAAAGGATAGTAATAAGTATTTAAGGAAGTTTCATTAGTGAGACAATGAAGAAACAGCTGTCGGCAAACTTAATCGTGTAAAAGTCTCATAGATTTACATATTGGACTGCGCGTCTCGTGAGAGAATTTGAAGCCTACATTACATCAGCTGGACGTATGCATCTTTTTCTAAATGTCAATATAATATTTATGCCTTGTACAATAAACTATTCAATACATAAATATTAGATTGATAATTAGAAAGAGACCCAGCTACACTGTAATCTAGATTTCAACTTCTCTTACGCGCAATCTGGTATATAAATCTATGAAAAATCTGCGTCCCGTTATGGTTAGTGAACTTTTCCATATCAACTTGTTGGCGTTTGGTTTAAATGTACAAGAAAAATAATATCAACGTTATTAATCAAATGCTACTAACGTCCGTTTTAGAAACAAGTAGAATGACTCGAGATTGTCTCATTAACCGCACAATATGTTTTCTTTATTACTGCTTATATAATTTTTCGTACTCGAATAGAAAACAGAACTTGCAAATCCGGTGGTGAACTGTCGTAACGACACAGTTGAACAAATAGGGTACAATAATTTCCTAATCTAGATTTGCTATAGTTGAAGTTAAACATTGATTTGATTACTCGGATTCGAAAGACTGTAGAATATCGAGGCCAATGGATTTTTAATTAATGAAAATTGTGCTGTTACAGGCACTGAAATGAAATTCATCGTCGCCTGTAGATAATATATTTTAATCAACATACCACTTATCAGTGAGCACTTTAGATTCATAGGCTTTAATTAGACTAATTGTATTTAGAGATACGTAAGAGGTGATATATTCCAAGTCAGCGAAATTACGGTGTGCGTGTACAGGGAAATGTTTTAAATAAGTTCTCGTAGCGAAATAGTGGGCGATCGGTTTTTATTTTAATGACGACTGTTTCGTACGCGGTTCCATTATCAGCCGATTGAATTACAACAGATAGTTTCTAAAATACTCGTGTGATCAGTGCAATGATATATACACATATACATATCTAAATGTACGCAACATTTTCACTTTTTTTCCATCTTCGAATGAAAAAAGAAAATTGCTCAGATAATTGAATGTTAGCTACTCATCATCAGAACAGCCAGTAACTTTATTAATACAGAACTTCTATTTAATTAATATTAATTTAAATTGAAGAACTTTTATTTAATTAATTACATTAAATCTTATTAGTCTCTCATTAGATAAAAGTTCTTTAATTAATACATTGTTTTATAAAAATGTCTCAATAATATACAGATTTTGTTTTAAACTTGCATTTGTTTTAATTAGTAATGTCTATTGAAAGAGGATGTTATTTATTTTGAGTAGCGCGTTCGGTGGAGACTGAAGAATCAGTTAATAATCGCCGTAATTTTCATTTTCTTTATATAGAGACTGTGTCTTCACATTTAATTGTGTAATATTTAATTAGTTAAGACGGAATTGTACTGTCAAGTATGCTAAGGAGAGGAAGCGAATCCTTTAAAGCTTTGTATTCTGTTTGCACTTTATACCGAACAATTTTCATGATAGTTTAAGCAGTTGAGTTCGTTTTAGAGTAAAACTACAATTTCTATAGTTTCTCTTGAAAATAAATAAGAATACACATTCATCCTGCCAAGTTGCAGATACAATATTTTTCATATGTACAATATGCTAAAATTATAATGTATGCTGGAATGAAGCGTTAATAACGAGGATATTTCTGTTTTGCATAGTTCACTGTCTTCGTAATTGATTTGAAGCTGTTACTATGAACGATCAGTAATATTAAACAAACTGTGCAACCAGTACTTAAAAAATAAAGATCACGATACTGTTTGCTGTCACAGTGGCTCGTTAAGAAACGTTGATTTCAGAAATTAGTGAGAATATTGCGATTTAATTACGTAGGATATATTCAGTCGATTTAATAGAGACTGTTAATCTTAAGATAGATACGCAGAGAACTGAAATCATTTTTTCTCGAATGTTTGATCGATTATGACAAAATTGAGACTACTTTCTGTTACGTGAAAAAGGCAGCTCTTTCCTTTCTCAACTTTTTATACATGGGAAACGTGAATCTTTCTATTACTATTTAAAATTTTTAATGAAAAATATCTTTTTTTCGAGGGACCCAAATGAAAAACAGAATAACTTTATCATGCTTCGTACAAGATTCGTACACCTATTCAAATAACAAGATTAATCGATTAATTTGTACTACAGCAATACGTACATAAAAGAAAATTGTTGGAACGATCGCAATTATAGTTTTAGGTATATATATACATATATACATATATATATATATATATATTTATCTTGCAATACTTTTAGAGCACTCGTTTTACGATAAAGGAAGGAATTTGTATATAATTTTTAAGAGAAATAAATAATCTACAAGCTCTTGCAAATTTTATGGCAATATGTAGTGAACTATTCGTAATATTAAATGATATGTAATTATCATTGTTATATTAGTGTCAGAATTATCGTACTGAATGAATCAATTTAATTGAATTTCACCTCTCGAAACCCATAGGACTCGATGAGTTCTTCAGTGTTTTAAATACGTTTTGATTTATATAATATCGACGAACTTAGATATATCTAAGGTTACTTGAAATAAATGTTCGACTCGTGAACGCAAACTGTTCGACAAATCGAATTAGGCAATCCACGTAGACAGTATGTACTTTTATTCCACTGTAATTCTGCCATATCGGATGAGAAGCTTTTGAAAATAGTCGAACGAGATAAACTCCAAATTCGTGATATACAATACATATGTACTCCTCTGTATTCTGTCGCTCAGTTTTTTAAGTTAGTAAAAAATTTACTTGAACCAAACTACTATGAATAGACTACGGATTTTTATGCAAAATAAAAGTAGTAGGATATCAGTTTAAGAAATGATATCTAGTAAGATTGTTCTTCAATTCTTTAAATGTCGTGTTATCCGTTTTCCTGTTGATACTTAATGCATTGCATTGTTTTACATGTTTTTACATTTTTACATTCTCAATTTTGCTATAAATGCATAAAATTCGCAGTCTAACTATGAATCTGTTACATTCCCCTCGTATCCCAGAACTTTATTCAGTGAAATGACTACGAGATTTAAATGCTCCATACATTGCATGCATGATGGGACTGATACCAGTTCGATTTCTTCTAAACTAATAGTTCTTATAAAAAAAATAAAATATTTGTGGCATCAATTTAAGAGACGTGTTGTGTTTTAAATAAATATTTAAATATCCATCCTGCTTTTGATATTCTGATTTGTTTTATCATCTTTGCACATTAAATTCTCCTATAATTAGATAAAAATCGCAATCTACTTATTAATTTAAGATATATATGGATAAAGAATGAAGAGTAATCACAAAATGTTTACAAAATATGCAGTAACAATTAGGTTCATTCGTAAAGAAACAAAGTCGAATACTCAATGTTTTCATTATGAGGCAGATATTTCAATTGAATATTAGAATATACGAGCAAAATAAATGAAATAAGTCTAAATACTCATTTCTGTTAAACATTAATTGAAACAGCTTACTTGTATAATAATTCTGACTGCTTTTCATCTCAGAAACATTTGGCGCGAAGTGGAGCCTCCGTCTACGAGTCCGCCATTTTTATCAATAGGTAAGAAGAGGAGTTCGCAAAGAATACTGTCTTATCGATCGCGAATTTCGATGGGAACGACTTATCGATGTATTTCAAAGATCAATTTTCCCGCGAAATCCCCGTGTCCGCGTGTACAAATTGAAAGTAGCGAAATGTATTCATTCTACGTCAAATGGTTCCACGATTCCTGTACTAAGTGCACAGTTCAATTACCATTCAGTATTTTCCGGCCGTAAAAATAAGAGATGATAAATATAACGAATTATTAACACCGAACTACGTGGACGGTTTTTATTAGCGTCGGTGACCCAAATACCTGAAGAAGTGTTGTCTGTACTTGCCACGTTTCGATTCTTCTCACCTACAATTGACCTTGAGCTTGACCTTGGGCATGCCCTTAATGTGAAAAGCGACAGAGAGAAGGATGTTCGGTCGAACGAGCCCTGACCTAACCTATTCTAGGCTATGTCTCCGTCTTCCGCGTACAGACAAAGCCTAGGAGAGGCTAAACCAAGTTACTCTGCTCCGTGCGTAAGTGTCCGTCAGGTCACCTTCCCTGTTTTTCTTCCCGTCAACTTTAAACATCTTTCTTCTCCGGTCACTTTCTTGTTTCATTATCCCTCTGGACACAAATTGTATTATTGAGGCGAGTGTAAGAATGTAATCATGACGGGGAAAAAGTAATTGGTATACACAGTTCCATCGAGGGAGCTCGTTTTTACAGCCGTGGTCCGGACAGCACAAAGAAAGCGTGTCACGCCTAAAAATACGCGAAGCACGCAGGTAGATGTGAAAAGGTCGGCCCCGGGAGGGAACAAGAGAGGAAAGAGAAAGAGCAAGAAAGAGAGAGAGAGAGACAGAGACCTGTTGATACTTAATGCATTGCATTGTTTTACATGTTTTTACATTTTTACATTCTCAATTTTGCTATAAATGCATAAAATTCGCAGTCTAACTATGAATCTGTTACATTCCCCTCGTATCCCAGAACTTTATTCAGTGAAATGACTACGAGATTTAAATGCTCCATACATTGCATGCATGATGGGACTGATACCAGTTCGATTTCTTCTAAACTAATAGTTCTTATAAAAAAAATAAAATATTTGTGGCATCAATTTAAGAGACGTGTTGTGTTTTAAATAAATATTTAAATATCCATCCTGCTTTTGATATTCTGATTTGTTTTATCATCTTTGCACATTAAATTCTCCTATAATTAGATAAAAATCGCAATCTACTTATTAATTTAAGATATATATGGATAAAGAATGAAGAGTAATCACAAAATGTTTACAAAATATGCAGTAACAATTAGGTTCATTCGTAAAGAAACAAAGTCGAATACTCAATGTTTTCATTATGAGGCAGATATTTCAATTGAATATTAGAATATACGAGCAAAATAAATGAAATAAGTCTAAATACTCATTTCTGTTAAACATTAATTGAAACAGCTTACTTGTATAATAATTCTGACTGCTTTTCATCTCAGAAACATTTGGCGCGAAGTGGAGCCTCCGTCTACGAGTCCGCCATTTTTATCAATAGGTAAGAAGAGGAGTTCGCAAAGAATACTGTCTTATCGATCGCGAATTTCGATGGGAACGACTTATCGATGTATTTCAAAGATCAATTTTCCCGCGAAATCCCCGTGTCCGCGTGTACAAATTGAAAGTAGCGAAATGTATTCATTCTACGTCAAATGGTTCCACGATTCCTGTACTAAGTGCACAGTTCAATTACCATTCAGTATTTTCCGGCCGTAAAAATAAGAGATGATAAATATAACGAATTATTAACACCGAACTACGTGGACGGTTTTTATTAGCGTCGGTGACCCAAATACCTGAAGAAGTGTTGTCTGTACTTGCCACGTTTCGATTCTTCTCACCTACAATTGACCTTGAGCTTGACCTTGGGCATGCCCTTAATGTGAAAAGCGACAGAGAGAAGGATGTTCGGTCGAACGAGCCCTGACCTAACCTATTCTAGGCTATGTCTCCGTCTTCCGCGTACAGACAAAGCCTAGGAGAGGCTAAACCAAGTTACTCTGCTCCGTGCGTAAGTGTCCGTCAGGTCACCTTCCCTGTTTTTCTTCCCGTCAACTTTAAACATCTTTCTTCTCCGGTCACTTTCTTGTTTCATTATCCCTCTGGACACAAATTGTATTATTGAGGCGAGTGTAAGAATGTAATCATGACGGGGAAAAAGTAATTGGTATACACAGTTCCATCGAGGGAGCTCGTTTTTACAGCCGTGGTCCGGACAGCACAAAGAAAGCGTGTCACGCCTAAAAATACGCGAAGCACGCAGGTAGATGTGAAAAGGTCGGCCCCGGGAGGGAACAAGAGAGGAAAGAGAAAGAGCAAGAAAGAGAGAGAGAGAGACAGAGGGAGAGGGACCGAGAAAAAGGCAAAGGAATTGCACAAGAGCAACGATTTGGTATTCAAATCGGCAGCGTGTTCCCGCCTCTCTTGCGGCCACACGAGTCCTCCTCTTTCGTAGTATAGACCTTCTTCGTTTAAATATTTTCTCTTCTTGTTCCTCATCGGCCTCCTCCTACTACCTCCTCTCGGACCCCTCCTCCTCCTCAAGCCTCTTTCGCCCTCTTCCACCTCTTAACATCGAATCTTTTCTCACTTGCCGCACTTTTTATCCGATCACCTTTGCATTATTTTGCATATTATTATCCATCTAGTCTCATTTTTAATGTTCTATTACGCAGCGTATAGACCAAAGTCTCTACTTTGGCCTCCCTTGTATGAAAAATAGACGAGCAGTTGCGTTGGTCAAAATCTGATTCATCCTGCCTCACGATATTAATTCGTTGAACCAATCGGGTATATTCGCACTGATATCGAATTACTGTTTCACTTGCAGGAAGGAATTTGAATGCCTCCGACCGGCAGAGGCGTGGAGACTTCAACGACCGCACGTGCTATATTCGACTGGCGCGGTTACAGAAACTCGGAACCGATGAGAGTGTTCGATGTACTTCATATTTCTGAGTGCTTCACTTTCTCCCTTGGCGTGAAATGAAGTTGTTCCAATCGCCGGACCCGATGGAAATGAAAGGAACCTCGTCACGGCCGCAGCGAGCCGCTTGAGTAAATCCGGGCGTTCGCAGATAGGAAATCTCTGCTGTTTACTTAGGAACCTCCGCGAATTTCGCGTCACAATCACGGCGTAATAACGTTTCCTCGCGAAATTCGTTCGCCGTGGTGTAAGGATTTTCTCGCGTGTCATCGCACGTCGCACTGGTACCAGCCGAGTCACGGAAAGGAAGTCGAGCCGCGCGGGCGACTGTAACAAGAACCCGGGGAACGGGTAAGGCAGTGAAAACTCGCGTGCGTCCCTCGGTAAGGTAATAACCCAAGGAAACTCGGGTAACAACGAAAACGGTGATATGTATACGTGGCACACCGGAGATTGGCCGACGGCGGCGGCGGCGGCGGCGGCGGCATTCCTCGACGACACGCACGGTGTGTGCGCGCACATCGGCAACCTGTGCACCCACTAACCACTAACCGCCGAACCACGGGAGGCCCGAGGTGTGCGCGCGCCAGGATAATATATGTATCTACGTGCGTTAACCACGTGAGAGCGGCCAGCATCTTTCCACGGTGGGCCCCACTTGGTGGGGACTTAACCTATGGACTGCTCTTTCTCTCCCCGTCTTTCTCTCGGGTGAAACCTTGAGTCTCCGGGAAATCGCTAGAATCATAATATGATCCGCGAATCTTACCCACAAGGGTCCCCGTTCTTTCTTTTCCTTAGATATAGGCAAGTTCTTCTTCGGCGCGACGGTGAGTAAAAATTTTCGTATTTCGAATTAATTCCGCTGTCATCATCTACCGTGACGTTGCGAATTGATCTTAACTACTGTAACATGTAAATACTTCGAATCATTTTGCAATTATTTTCAACATACTAACAACGAGTGAAGTGTGTTTTTGTATCGTATTAAGTTTGCGAGGTATTATTCATAAATCCATGAATAGAGAGATCTTTGCATTTACGGTAAGATGTACATGCGAAGATGTCGTTGACGTATTCGTCTCGTCCGTCCGCTCATTTTTTTTTCCTACATCATTGCGCTGTCATTTACTCCACGGCATGGTAGTTAAGCGTCGGCGTCTCGTTTGTCAAGGTAGGCGCCTACGTTTTTATTCGCCACCCTGTAGACGGCGGAGTTCTCACTCAACCTTCCCGACAATCTCTGATCGACGAGTTTTTATGAAGGTCGTACGAACTACGCGAGTCTCTCTACCCACTTACTCAGCTGCTTCGCTAATGTACCGTGTTTATGCTATTTGTAGACACGCGAAAGAAGTACGTCGACATTATTTTACGCATACGCATTCCGATAGAAGAATTATAGTTTGTTTCGTTAACTGTTTCATATCCAAACAGCGCGTTGTTTAGATTTCATGTCGAACGATCCCAGTAGCCAATTAAGACAAGTTGTGTTGCATTGTTCGGCATTTTTCGACAATGTTTTTTACGGACAGCTGGAATTCAAACGGTTAATCTGAGCGACTCGTTCTTGACCTGGCTATGTACCAAAGGGTAGAATCGAAATTAATGAAGTGTTCTGCGAAATGATAGAAATGGGAGGAAGGCCAGGTGCAGCATAGTCTCTCAAGGTTGCTATAACTACGATCGTATCTCGACGACCGTGGGTGGTCCTCAAGGCTTTTTGGGGATCAGAATACTTTTTCGAACGAATTTGCAAATCCCTGCGAGAATTCTGTTAACACGGTTGAGAAGTTTCAGTAGCAAGAGCTCTGCAAATTTATCGAACCGGATTAATTGAATAATTATACTCGCTGGCGAGAAGCAATACAGGCGAAACAGGTATAAGTCTCTTTCGTTTTATTATTCTTTCGTGCGAGCGTAGCGTCGTCGCTTGCAATCAACGGTATATTTTGCAATCGTTGGTCAGTATTCCGAATTCTCATTTGCAACTTCGAGGATGGAGATGGCGGCGGACTACGATAATTTATTAACTAGTCCGGCGAGTCAAACCTGTTGGTTCCCTGCGAACGTGTTTTGCTGTTCGTGGCTGCGAACGCGGAGAGCCGTGGTGTCCTTTGATATCTCTCTACAGAAAATTGTCTCTTAATTCCGTCTTGCATTAATGATAGGGTTACCATATTTTCCGCTTGTTAAAAATATATAATACCGAATAAGTAATAGTTGAGTCGTGAAACAGCAACATAAAAAATTTAGCTATTCTTGTGAGTCTGTATCCTTATACTTCTCTAAAGATTGATTTTTCGTTAATGTTTTATTTTTTTCAAATAATTACGAAAATCTTGACGAGACGTCTCTGAAGTTCTTTCACACATGTAAAAGATCTGTGATAGATTCTAAACATACATATAGTAGATTCCCATATAACACGGTCAATATGTTCCAGGCTATATGTATATGTATTAATTCGCGTTATAAGAATTCATAGTATATGAAAACTTATCTCGTATAACGCGCATAATTTGAAGCAACATGTTTGAAATAATTATTGCCATACCAATTTTCATTTTTTATGTTTTATCAAGTGGGATAGTATTTTAAAACTAAATAGCATACTACAATATCCCTTGTACGATCTCTTGTTCTCGAGCTTAATTTCCATTCAATTGCTATCACAGGACACGATATGAAATAATGGTGAAATATCGATTATCTATTATCAATTTTCATGAACCACAATATTAACTCTTCGTCAGGTTAATTGATTAATTAAATTTACGTCGAGGTAATTAACAACAAATTAAGAGTCAAGAATTCTCGAAGGTCTTTCCTAGACGCATACCCTAATAACCACCGACTGAACGGCAGATCACGGTGTCGAAGGTTAAAAACAGGTTGCAGCAAGCTCCCAGCTATTCGAGGGTCGTTCGTTTTCAAGTCACGTAACCCCACGACGCATGTCCACCGAATGTCGCGAAGAGGGAGGAGACAAGATATAATTTCAAGACGTTTATTTGGATTCCTCGGATTCTTCCATTCTTAACGGTTCGATATTATGCAGGTGTAGGTACTGTAATTCGCAATGGCGAGCAGCCAGCGTGTAGGAAATTCCCCAACGGTGACGTAAAAAAGGTAGCGCCCGAGGGGATTTATTTAACGCGGCGCCACCCATTTGATGCTTCCCTTCTTTCGATGCAAATCGGAACACGTCCTGCTGTCTCGGAGTCACTTGAATTATCAATATTCCTATGAAATATCTAATTAACTCCCGATTTTGTTAATAGATTCTTTATATAAATTTTATGTTTGATTTTAATTCTTGTGGATTTCCTAGTGTTGATAGTGTAACCGTGGACGATGATTATATATGAGAAAATAAGTCGAAAATATGTAATAAATTTTTTCGGGAAAAGGCTCCATTTTCGAGAAAAATGAACAACTCCAAAACGAGCTTCTCAATTGCTCTTCAAATTTTCCACGCGAGTTTAAAATGGTTTATTTATTAAAATTTCAAACATGTGTAACTGTTTCAACTTATACCTAAAAAAGCTAAAATACGCATTATATTTATGGAGCCCCTGCCCTAATACAACGTCGTTTAATCAGCGCTTACAGAAAAGTCTGGCATGCGCGTCGCTGACCCTGACATTTACCGATGCATTTTACGCGCGCGTATGCTCAGCACTAACTGTTCACTCGCGTCGACATGATCGCTCGGCTTCCAAATGAGTTTGCCTCACATTTTCGTGTTTGCAAATCTCCGTCGGGTGTTATTGACATTATCGGAGGAACCTGTTTAAAGAACAAATATTGAACAGCTAATAGACTGCTCTTACGCTGCACGCAGCAACTGCGACATTGACATAAAGAAATAATCGAATCGTACAATGAAGAACTCAACTGAATCGCTCGAACATTATTGAAAAATATGTTAATCCTGTCCCTAGCTTTAAAATTTCCAAATACGATTTATTTTCGCCGAGCAATCGGTCGTTGAAATCGAATGCAAATAAATGAAACGACATTCGAAAACAGGGCACCCAAGGATGGGCGCGATTCCTTTCGAAACGATAAGATCACATGGCTAAAAATGAACGGTTCGCGTTGAACCGGCTGTACACACGATGCACATGGGTACCAAAAATTTACGACGGACTACGGTACCAGGATTTTATTAAGATTGGCGCCTTGAGGAATGCAAGTTTAACGGACCGTCGTCGTCGTCGCGCCGTGGCCCAGCCTTCTCCTTCTCGTCCTTCTCCTCGACAAGCTCCGATCCGTTTACTCGCACTTGCGTGTAGACAACATACCGATGTCGATGCATTTACGCTTCCATCGAGGAACTGGCTTGCCCTGATCGAACCTGAATTAATAATAATCGATTCTCCAAACGCACATTATATCGCTTGCAACAACGTTAATCAGTCAGATTAATCAACCGTGTCGTTGCTTGCAGAACTTCCTGGCCCGTACGTTGAATAACAATGCCAGGGACCTTCGTACATCGTAGATGAAGCGTGCAGATGTACAAGCCACGTCGTCGAAGGTCGTCCACAAGGACGTTTATTCTTCGGTACCATTGATGATCGCGGAATGGACAGAAAAAGCACGAGGAGGTAAGAAGATTTATGGTTTCGATTCTCCATTCTACATTAAAAGCAGTATGAGTGAATCCATTCGCGTTTATTTTCATATGAAACCCAATGCTAGTAATAACACCTGACAAAGAATAAGGTAAAGGACTATGAAATTAAATAAATAATATAAAAGTGTTAATAATATAAATTCTCTTGCTGTTGGTCCCTAGTGGATGGTACATCCTGTCTAGCGTATCCTAGCGAACACGATCGCACGCTCTTACTCGCGGGAGAGGCCGTAAACGTAGGCGTGAACTTTTCAATAAAAGAGAACCGGAGCCTCGCTCGCTCGGGGATACTTGAACGCGTGTATCGGGATCAATGACACGCCCGCAGATTCCCCGGAGAGGTATCCTCTACGTAGAGCTACGTAGAAGCATCCTGTAGAATTCCAACCGCCTTCCTCGACTTCGCAGCAGGACCTACTGGTTTCTATTTATATACCCGCGGCGAGAGACCTTGCAGCTTGCAGCTCGCGCGCTTTACGGGCTCTCCCGGTTCTCCGACCTGTGCGAACCGCTGTCACGGCTCTATCATTGTCCAATTCGAATCGTTACTTCATCCTTTACGTTCCCTTAATCGTTCAAAATGTTTACTGAAATCGTATTCGCTAACACTTCGTATCCTTTCGAAATAAATAATGCCACGTTACTGAAACTTTATTATTTGACGTTAATTATTATTACTACGAATGTATGTGACAAATCTAGGAAAAGTTTATTGTAGCTTATTTGAAAGTTATTGTCATTTTAATTTACCATGTATTCTTGTGGAGGGGAAATTTACTTAGTTTAGTTAAAGAAGACATAACGAAGAAATAATGACAATTTGAATTCTTGAAAGCTTGTACTAATATTTATAATACAGGGGATCTTTATGCAAAACAAAACATTTATTGCATCAGTTTAGAGGATTTATTTTAGATAAACAATTGGTTGATCATTTAAACATTGAAATATTCATTCAGTTTTTAATATTCTGAGTTTTTATTATTTTTACGCATTCAGTTTTACTATAATTGCATAAAATTCGCAGTCTACTTATTAATTTAAGATACACATGGATAATAAAATATCCATTCAGCTCTTGATATTGTACAATTAATTATTTTATACACTCCACGCAGCATTTACCATTTGTATATATTCTACTTTCTTATAATTGCATAAAATCCGCAATCTATTAATAAATGTCTTGAAAATAAATATTTACCAAGAAAAATGTAAATTATTAGGCATTTCTATTTTATAAGTAGACTATGGTTTATGCATTTAAGAGAATTTTAAATAATTTAAAAAACACAGTAATATGTAAAAAAGAAAATGAAAAATTTTTAAAGCACACTTTATAACATTTAGAGGAGGAAACGAGTGATTATATGCATCTCGTTTTTTTAATTTTATTTGTATAAATAGGAATTTGCATAAACTTCTGCAGTTTACTAATAAGTCTGTAATATTACTTTAATATTACTGTAATAATATTAGATCAAACGACTTAATTGTCTTTGGTATGTTAAAAGGTCTGGTTTACTAAATAGTATCTAATAAAAAATTGCTATTCGTCAGAATCTCGAAAAAAGAAAAAGGCACAATTTTTAACTTCTTTATTAGCACCTTCAATAAAAGTTTAAAACATTCAATTTGTAGATCTAATAGAAAAATAAGTTCTTTAGTCCAATTATAGATGAAAATTAAAAATTCAATTTGGTTGAAACGTTTTAGATTTTCGATGCATCGACGCCATCTGTGTCATACGTATCATATCAAACTGCGTGCATTACGTGTATGCATCTTCATACTCGGTGTGTGTTTGTGATAATACCTTTTGACAAGGTGCTGATTAACGCGTAGTTTGGTTAAGGGATTTTCCAAAGGAATTACGAAGAGAAAGTATGGCTGCCAAAATAGCCGAAATTTTCGACTCGTTTCAAAACTACCTAAGCGACGAGGAAGAAATACGCGAGGTCTGTATCATTTATTTCACGCTTGGAAATTTGCTTGTTACAATCACGCAGCCGCTGCTTATTTTAATACAATTTTAAAGCAAACAATTATTTTCTGATGATACGCCAGTATGTTTCGGATCAGAATGCTTTTGATGTTATACACTTTTATCTGGATTATTGTACAATCATAAACAACAACGTTACATTCATCAATTATCTGTTCTCTTAATTATGCCTCGTACAGTCTAGGTTACAGTAGGTCGATCGTTGAATTTTTTGAACGGATTACGGACGATCATGTTGCAATACAAGTAATACGTTTGTTCTTTGCCCCAAGGAAATTCGTGGTATCGTAAGGGAAATCGAAAAGAGTTCCAGGGAAATTCTGATGATTTTACAGAACATTCACAATGAGAACGAAACAGAAGAAAACATAAGTACGTATCTTTATTAAATCAATTTAAAGAGATATTCAAATGGTGTTACTGTTCCATTATAGTTGTTTCTCAGTACTGTGCAAAATCCAGAGATCTCCTAGAAGATGTGCGTAAGAACTACGAGAAACTCGCAAGCGTCGTGCCAAAGGATCAGTATTACAGATATAACGACCAATGGCGTTTTGTCACACAAAAATTATGCTTCCTAGTTTCCCTGATAGTATATTTAGAAATTCGGACTTTGGTTAGTAAAGAAGTGGTCGCACAAGTATTAGGAGGTACGTAATTCTAACTATCTTTTTTTTTGAGAGGAAGTTACTCGTAATACTTTGCATAAAAAGATTTGAATTATGCACGTAGTTAAGAATAATAGAGAAGAGGGTTTTCACTTGGACCTGGAAGACTACTTAATGGGTTTATTGCAATTAGCTGCAGAACTGGTAAGCACTCGGTGCGCGGACAATAATCGTCAATATTACTTATTTAAATATTACATTTCAGAGTCGTTTCGCTGTAAATAGTGTCACCAACGGTTATTATGATCGGCCTATAGAAATAGCGCGTTTTATAAACGAACTAAATGCAGGGTTTAGGCTTTTGAATTTGAAAAACGATTCTTTAAGAAAACGTTTCGACGGGCTAAAGTATTCTGTTAAGAAAGTGGAAGAGGTAGTTTACGATCTTAGTATAAGAGGCTTGAAACCATCTACAAATCCCGAAAATTCGAAAGAAACAGACTAATCACTTTTTCTCTAAAGATTTTTTTATAAGAATAATATATATATATATCGCATACATTGTCAAATAATATAAATTATTCAAATAATTATTTTTATATTTGTAAAATAGAAATTACGTTTATATTGCATCAAACGATACTCTCACATGATTCATTTTTCTTTATTGAGTACTTAATAGCCTCGTTCTAAATCTACTTCGTTTAGTAACTGTTCTCCTTTGATATACTTTTGATAATTTTCCGCAAAGAACTTTGCGACATCTTGACCGCGCGTTACACCTGAGATGTGAGGTGTAATGGTCACCTACGACAAAATGTTTCTCATTGATTCAGAGTTAAATTGAATTTTAATTGTACTGCAATATCACCTGTGGCAACGTCCATAATTTACTTTCGTTTGGTAATGGTTCTTCTTCGAAAACATCCAGAATTGCCCCCGATATCCAGAATTGCTCAAGAGCATTTACCAAATCCGCCTCTTTAATGATCGTACCACGACCTACATTAATAAAAACACTGCCTCGAGTTTTACAATTTTTTAACATGTCCCCGTTGAGTAAACCAGAAGTATTGGGCGTTGATGGTAAAACGTTAACAATGTAATCGCTGTTCATCAGCATATCAGGCAAACAGTCAATCGTCCTGTGTTCATCGAGATAATCCAAATTCTCCTTAAGCGGTGTTCTTGTGATACCCCAGACAGTCGCCGCTAACGCTTTTAATCGTTGTGCAACTACAATAGTTACAAATGTATTCAGATGAAAACAGATAAACCCCATTATTTGTACATAACAAGACGAGATTATTACTTGACTTTCCGATGTTCCCTAAGCCTAAGATACCGATGGTCAAGTCGCATATTAATCTGTGATCAGAGATCTTCCCATCCCGTATCCATCGACAATTATTTTGATTCTGATACTGCCGCGCCTGATCGCGCTCGAAATTAAAAATATGCGCTATCACATATTCTGACATAGCTAAACCGAAGCTTGTATCCGAAAAACGTGTAATGGTATAATCTAATTTTTTATCTCTCAGAGCTGGGAACAGGGTATTGACACCAGCCCATGTCGTTTGCACCCATTTCAAAGACGGTAACTTATCTATGTGTGATACAAACAGGTCGGTATCTGTTAACAGTACTTCCGCGTCTTTTAATTTCGCTATCGTGTCAGATTTATCTAGAACGAAGAATAAACGTGGATAGACATGATTCTCGACTATCTTATTATAGTGTAGATTTTCCGGGAATATTCAAAGCGTGAACCGCGCAGATTCAGTGTATGCGACGTAGTAGTGGTAGTGCGTTCTGACACGTGCTCGCTGCGAAATCTCTCGTGGGAGCTTTCGAATTCGAGCTCCGCACGGACAATGAGGAAAAGTGTATTTAAAAATTAATACCTGGCGATACGTCAAATATCGTTAAGCTCGGAAGTTGCGTTTGGACATGGTAAGATAACCTAGGAATCACGGAAAGAATCGCGATGTTATGCGCCATGTCGACAAATGCACAAATCTGATTTAAGCTCCGTTTTTCGATCGAATATAATATTCCACGTTCGATCGTCGTGATAATTGTTAGGGTCAATACCGGATATTACGTTTGTTGCTTCGACATGCTGCACTGATATATCTAACCTAAGTTTCCGATAGAATTTACGCTTTTTTTTCAAGTCACGTTTCCTACTTATTATAGTAAGCTGAATTAATAGGTAGAATCATTTGAAAGTTTTCAGTTTCTTCTGTCTTAATACATAAACGACATTGTTCGAAGAAATTTTAACACCTTTCCCTATAAAATAGTGAATTTAAGAATCAATTAAATGGGCTAGCTTTAGCCAGAAACATTTAACTTCAGTATTAAAATTGTATCCAAAAAGGATTCGTTTATTGTTTCAAAGAATTCTTAGATAACCGGCTGAACGTAAATTTTGATACCACCCGCCACAATATAAGGGCGCAAACTCTCATGCAGCAGAAGACAATCGAAATTCGATGTGCGGTTCAATTCTAACATTACTGATCATCATTAATAATCATTTGACTAGTATATTTGAATAAATGTTGACGGACAATGAAAATTAGCGAGTTCGTTAGGATAAATAGGATACTGTGAACGAGGCTTTTAGCGTAGGTAAACGGCGTGGCGTCCAATAGACGCTCGTAAGCGAACCGGTGGCGGCGGCGGGCCGATTCCCGCGCGACGCACGTCGCATCGCGGAACTGCTCGAGCTGAACGTGTTAAATGGCTGTGCGTCGGCCATGATGGCTTTGAGCAGGGACCGTGTCACGCAAACATGTTTTCAAAGTGATATATCTCGTTTGGTGACTGAGTGACCGTGTTCCAGCGCGATGGCCGGAGAACGATGAGGCCCTGAGCGCTCTCTGTGCCGGGTATTACGGCCGCAGGGCCCCCAGCCAGGCCCAGCCAGGTTCACGTTCCCCAAGCCCGAGGCCCGAGCCGATCCGACTGGCCTCACGGTTCGACACCAGCCACCTCGGTTGTCAACACGCGAGCCAGCCGCCTCAGGATGAGCAAGCTGTCGTTCAGGGCCCGCGCCCTGGACGCTTCGAAGCCCATGCCGATTTACATGGCCGAGGAACTGCCGGATCTGCCAGATTACTCGGCCATTAATCGCGCCGTGCCCCAAATGCCTAGCGGCATGGAAAAGGAGGAGGAATGTGTAAGTCGAACGTTCAGACTTCTTCCAGCATGTTTTCCCCGTCCGCCATCTTACCGTCGGCCGCATCTTCATAAACAACCAGCAGGGGGCACTCGTTTTACAATTATTATGACCAGAAATTACTTATTTTTGTCGTTAAACGTAATTGACAATTGTGCTGCACGCGTTGCCGTTGTTCCTCAAGCATCCGTGCATCTTTTTAAACGATTGTTGACAGCTGTCAAGCTTCCATATCGATGCTACGATCAAATCAAAATAGATGCTCCAATGTTGCTTTCCCACAAATACTCCTTCATTTTTTTATTATTTTAATTGTTACAATCATTGTATACTTTGTTAGGATCTGATAGATGATATGTTTTAACATTTGAACAATGATCATTTAATAGTTGATTATAATTGATGTTATTGTCATCTTGTACTGATACTGTATGATTGTACAATTTTCATGTCCCATCCCCTTTCATGTACTTTATGTACTTTAAACATAAACAGACAAAATCAAAATACATGTTTTAATATTGTCCTTCCACAAACATTTTCTCATTCTTTTGTTATTGTAATCGTTACGATCATTGGGTAGTTTGTTATGATCTGCCAGATGATTCTTAACAGTAAATGTCATCTTTCATCCCTTAACACGTAAAAGAATTGATGTAAGATTACACAATTTTCATAACACCTATCCGTTGTACTTCACTTTTATATACTTTAACACTAAATCTACTAATAGTTTTTGTACATGAATACACTATGTTTGCATTATTTACATTTAGGTGCAATTTTGTGTTGACACTCGTATTTCAGTTTTATCCTAGCTTAAATAATAATTACAACTTTATCCTAATGACAAAACAAATTCTATTTTCTTTCTATTTCTTATAGAAGAATTTAAGGATTTGACTAGTGCATAGTAGGTTTAGTGTTGAACATAAATAAATAAGATCAAAATGGATGCTCCAATGTTGCTTTCCCACAAATACAACTTCATTTTTTATTATTTTAATTGTTACAATAATTGTATAGATCTTTATGATCTGATAGATGATTTTTAACGGTAAATGACCTCTTTTATGCTTTAACATTTGAACAATGATCATTTATTAGTTGGTTATAATAGATGTTATTGTTTTATTGCACTGATACTCCATCATTGTACAGTTTTCATAACGACCGTCTCATCGCTTGTACATTAATTTTATAGATTTTAAACATGTATATCTACTTTGAACATGTTTACTTCTGTAGTAATCCTCTGTTTCGTTATTGTTATTTCTGTATACAAATAAATTAGTTTGACCATTAAATACTTTTATGAATTGCATTCATGTGTTTTGTCGTATGTTTTCTTATTATAAACTATGAAATGGCAAGAATCTTGTATTGTTTATTGACTAAACTATGTGCGTAGGAACATCACTTGCAAAGAGCAATATGTACGGGTCTAATCATTCCTACCCCTGAAGTAAGTGACTTGGCGGATGTGGAAGCTTACGACAAGATATATCCAGCTGATTACAAGCTTCCTCGACAACTTATACACATGCAACGTAAGAAATTACGATCCGTAACATTTTATTGATAGACTGCGGATTTTATGCATTCCTAGCAAACTTGGATAAGTAAGAAATAAAAGATGGACACAGTGGAGAAAAGTGATTAAAGTATCAACAACAAAATCCATAGCGTGACGTTTAAACGATTGAAGGATATTCGTTCTTAAATTGATACTCGAAATGTGTTATTCTGTGCTATAAAAATCCGCAATCTACTATTCACTATTTTGTAAGCAACAAGTTGAATGATTGAATGGGCTTCTGTTTTCTAAAGCATTTGCAATGGAACAAGATATACCAGACTACGATATGGATTCGGAAGACGAAAAATGGGTTGCAGTACAGAGTCGTAAAATGGACTTGACTCCTCTTCAGTTCGAAGAAATGATGGATCGGTTGGAGAAAAGTTCAGGACAGACCGTGGTTACTCTGAACGAAGCTAAAGCGCTTCTGAAAGAGGATGACGATTTAATTATCGCTGTTTTCGATTACTGGCTAAATAAGCGTCTTAAAACTGTAAGTCATTTAGAAATTTTCTGTGTGAATCAACGTGTTAATTCGTATCTGTTTTTCTGCGCAGCAACATCCTCTTTTATTAACGGTAAAAACGGAACATCGGTTTGGTTCAGCTGCCAATAATCCTTATTTAGCGTTTAGACGTCGAACGGAGAAAATGCAGACACGGAAAAATCGCAAGAACGACGAAACTAGTTATGAAAAAATGCTGAAGCTCCGTAGGGATCTTAGTCGGGCGGTCACTCTGCTCGAAATGGTTAAAAGAAGGGAGAAAACCAAACGAGAACATTTACATCTTACCATCGAAGTATACGAGAAGAGGTGAAAGATAAATCAAATCTTACTCTCGTCATTTCCGTCTTTCTACACAGATATTTAATTAGAATACTCGATAGATACCAAGCACAAGATTTCAACGGGCAAATCCTGGCGGAGGTGTCGGCGTTGAGGACACCGAGACCTGCCTTTGCGCCGCTGTTCACAAATCAATTCGGTGTTCATCAAAATTGGGCAAACAAAGTCTGTAGTAAAGTTAGTAAATGTGTTCATACTGGTTCCACGGCGGAAAGAGAGTTTTACTCACGATAGTAATTATTGTTCCAGGATGAAGTAGTACCCAGGAAAGAAAAAAGACAATACAAAAAACGGAAACATAAAACCGATGGTAGGGGTGGCGGTTTGGAGGACAATGGTGTACGGGGTGGAACAGGTAGCGGTGGTGGTCGAGGGACTCGGCCTGGTGTTCTCGGTAGCGGGCTGGACCCGCTGATGAGCTCAGACGAAGATAGTCCGCTTCCATCTCATTCGCACTCGCAGCCCTCGGTTCCTTCGGACCGCGACGACGAAGATACCGCCGACGAGGGTCAATTCGCTTTCCGGCGGAACAGAAATAGCACTTATTTACCAGTGAGTGCTACTAACTTCTCAAGCATTTTTCGTATCCTATACATCACGTAGTTCCGTAAACGCGCGTGAATCGACGTACAGTGGCTCACAAATCACGGAAGTACTTGAAAGTAATTGAAAAGTATTGAAAAAAGGTGTCTGGATACTTTAAGCCATTGTATATATTTCGTGAATTCGGGATAACAGGATCTTTTTTTATTCTGCGTGCTGTGTTAGTAATAATCCGTGGGTGGTCAATGATAAAACAAAGTCAAGTCACGAATCGTGTGTTAAAAGTGTGAAAATAGTCTTAAAGTTCTTTTTTTCAGGATTGTAGATATAGAGCTTTTCTCTTTGCAGCCTGTATCAGGTGGATTTGGAAATTGGCCTTGGTGTGATAAAAACGAGGGTGGCTTGGCCGATAAGAAGTTTAGGTTCGCGCTGACCAGTATCAACAAACCAGTACCGAGATGTATTGGATTTGCGCGGCGGCGAATTGGTCGGGGTGGCAGGTACGGTATTCTACGAACAGACAAATAAAAAACGATCGGGAACTATTCTTCCTTAATATTATTCCAATGTTATCCTACCAGAGTAATATTAGATCGGTGTTCAACCGATATGGATGATATGTGGTCCTCGTTAGACTTCACGATACACCAACCGAAACGAGAGCCAGCGGATTCTGATACGACTGCCACATCAACGACTCCAGTCAAAAAAGAGTGGTACGTTCAATGATTGTCTTGCGAGACTCTTTTTAAGCGACTAAGGTAATCGTGTGAATTTTCTAAATTACTTGTATATAAATTTTTCACATTGTTTGCCCAGGCAAGAATAGTGTAAAATAACGCATTTATAGTATTAGTTTAATATTAGAACTACCGACTTTTTTGTATATGCAGTTCTTCATTTAAAACCAGTCATGTTGATTGGTTTGGTAATTCTAATGTTAAAATATGCATTTTCGGAGTTGTTTCTGAGCAATAATTTCCTTTGGCAAAATGCAAAGTGAGCTATGGTTTTTAATCGGGTTCGATTCTCGGTTCAACAAGAACAATTAGTTAGTACAACATTATGAGAGTTATTCAATTATGAAATCTGTACGAGTATCTATGGGCTTTATTGTATGAAACACATGAAAATCCGTGTCCCAGATCGCCGTCCTCATTTTGTTACTTCACAATGTTACTGAAATCGAAGAATTAATTTGTTCATATATAACCGTAGGTTACACTTCCGACCAAAGACTCCACCTGCAACTCCGTCAGTGCACAGTCCAAGTGAAGAAAGTAGCGATACGGACTCGGAGATCGAGCCAGCGTTGACTCAATCGAAGCCACTTCCGTATCCGTTCCCACCCGAGGCGACGTCGATCTGCGTGGAGATCGAGGCGGACCGCGCAGGCGACGAGCCACCGTTCACGTCGGAATTCAACATCGCCGATTACTTCGCGGCGGACGCTCTGTCGGACTTCGACCTAGCCGTGGCGAATATCACCGGTGGTGGTTCGTGCATCAGTGGACTATTGGACAATAACTGTAGCGATACGCGGACAGGCGAGCTGGGCAGTTCGCATTTCGTCGTAACACCGTTGCCCGGCAGTCAATTCGCGCAACCGCAGGCTCCTCGGCCTCAGTGCAGTGCTAGTGGTTCCAGTGTTGTAAATACTTCGACGACGACGAGTTCCTCAACGGCGCCGTCGCCTTTCTCGTGTACGACAAGCCAGCCAACCACGTCGAGTACGGTTTCCACGCAGTGCACGACGAGCACCGCCGCCGAAACACAGTCGTTCCAATCGAAACAGCAACACAGACAATTACCAAACAATAGCAGTCCTGTCTCCATTCTCTCTAAGTCCTTGACTAGTCCAACGAATAATAGGAATGGCGGCGGAAGCTGCGGCGGCGGTAGTGCCGGTTCGGTTCGAGTGTTTAGTGCGAGTACTACGAGCAGTGGGACGATCACAAACTTCGGTAACGGTCACCAGAACGGGCCGTTGCCGCATATAAACAACTCTAACAATCTTTCGAATAGCGCCCACGTCGTGAATAATCAATCAACGATAGTTCTGCCGCAAAAACACCCGCCGTCCAATCTGCTACCGGGCTTGATCGCGCAGAGCAAATTGGCGAGCCTCGCGAGGCAGCAACAGCAGACGCAAAGTCAGGCGCAACAAATCCCAACGTCCGGGGAAATTACGCTTAATAGTAATAGGTAAGTATGTCCTCTTGCATGTTCGGAAATTACGTGACACGGGTTCACATCGTTAGTTTAGATTGCAGGGGCTCGAGCTTCGTACAGTAGAATTTCGATAATCCGCCAGGGACATTGCCGTCGCGTTAAATGGTCAAGCACGTAATCAATCGGATTATCGAAATTTCGCTGTGTCTCCTGTTGGAATTACTTGTTTGCAACAACTCCATGTATTTGATTATAGTGAGAATTTGGATATGGAGGTGGATGGAGTGGAAAATGCGGCTTGCGACAGTAAGCCGCAGCAGCAGCAACTCGTACGGGCAAACAAAACAAATTCGTTGGCAATGGAAGTGACATGATGCCTGCTATCGGCACCCCTGTTGCCGCCAATACGTCACTGGGGGCTTCGCTAAACTTTTTACCTTGCCTATGTCTGTCCGACTTCCGCGGGAAGTGGATGCGTAAATTAACGTGCTCGTTAAAATGCGGAAAGAGAGAGCGGTACGGCCAGATTCGATTGCAGAAATACTCTGATCAGTTGCCTGGTAGTTTGACGATCGCGATACAAAACGGGATCGAGTGTTCCCTGTTATTTTGATCGCAGAAAAAAAGAGAAAGATGATTGTACTGCGATTCATTTTTCTATATCGTTCGTTTCCTTGCTCATTGAACCAGCCACCAGTGTTTCATTAAACCTTTACTGAAGTAGTAGTTCATTTCTTCTTGGTACATTAAATTTATTATTGATTGTCTGGCCAACGTTTCGTTTCTTCTTTTCTTAACGCGCATTACTTCTTACGAAGAGTATTGGTAGCTGAATATTTTTCCAAACAGTATAGAACAGAAGCATCTCTATTAATTGAAATGAAACAAATCGTTCAACGCAAGGGAACTTTTATATTTGACAAAATTGTAGCCTCAGTCTTTTTTTCCTTCACTGAGAACTTGGCAGAACTTATTTTTTTACTCAAGTGCAAGTAATACCGTTGGGATAGTTCTAACGATGAATTGTATCAGAGCCATAACACAAGCTTTCTCAGACACAACATTGATTGCAATACTGTACTCGTATGTTGGAAATCTTTTAAATATCGTTTCGTTCGGATTCGCGATACAGTACGAAGATCATGGCTAGGGTACCATAGAATATATTGTATAAACTTAGTTTTAAATTACATTCTTTTGCAATACGAAATCAAACGTGTATTCGAAGGATAATATTTCTGTGTGTACATTTATAACTGTAAATTTTATTTAAAAAGAAAACTAAGAATATAGAATAGTTGCTTCATATGAAAAAAGAAAAACGTGTATAAATCTTTTATAAATATTATTAAAGCGTATATTTTGTATCGTCTATCTCAGAGGTCTGAATGAAAAAAACGTAATTCTCACTCGCTGTGGATTTGTATGTTTATTTCAGTGTACTGTAAATAACTTCAGTTTAAATGTAATATGTTAAAAGCTTCCAGGCTGTGAGATAATAAAACTATTGCTAACAGTAATTTACCTTTCGATTCGTACATGTAACAAAGATTCCTGATTAATTTACGACTTCGCAGAGCTACGCATTTCTATGTTAATAACATACGATCAATTAAGTACAATTACAAGTAATTGTAATGTGGAAACTTTTCAATCAGAATGTTGCGTTTGAGAAGCTTGTATCATCCGGAATCTAAACAGAAATACTGACAAGTTCAAGGCACTACGCTAGGATTTATGATATCTAGCAAGTGCTGAAACAAAAAACCAATCTTCATGTCTTTCACTTTAATGCGAGGGATCGAAATAGGAATAACGTAAAATTCAGTTGCTGTGTAAAACACGAAAGAGTCTTTCTCTAAATTGACTTCAGTTCTCGTCAAAGTAAATCGCCACGTTGTAGAACGATAATTAATTTTCAACCAGGGTTCAAATGTACGTACTCGGAAAAAGATGATTTACGTTATTTGTATCAGTAGAATTGTTGATCAAAAAGAAACACATTACATAAATGTTAGAACAATAGTTAAGTCTACGTTAAAACTTCGTGCGATTCCCTGCTTAGAACAATCGTATAATATTGCGATAAAAGTAAATACACGTTCAGTTGTTCCTATATCTACGTTCTTATGGTATAGTCCAAATGGTTTTTTCAAAAGTCTACTGGTACCCCTGTTGATTGTAAACTTTAGGCGTTCCTGGCACTTATTCATGCACAGTTGATACGCTTCGTTATAATTTCGCAGATAAAACGTTTCGATTATCTTTAGAGCCGAGAGTCATCCGTGCAAGTACATAATTATCGTGAATTTTGCGCACATTTCTATGCGCGTTATTCTCTTCCTCTTAGTCTTTCTGTATTATTGTCTCCCATTAACTACGTATTGAGAATAATAAGATTAAAATATGTAAGACTATCAAGCGGAGGAATAAGTTAGCAAAGAGAGCCGACAATATACCGAGATTATTCTATTATACATTTTCATTTGACGATCGACGAGCAACGGTTTTAATTTAAAAAGATTCATTTAGCACAATCGCATCTATTGTAATTATGTCGATGCGGCTGAAAGGATACCTGTGGAAAGGGGACGGAGTTATTTAAAAGCGCGTAGACTGTGTCAAATATATAAAGTTCGAAGCTGTGAGGAAATACAAGAATATATCCGTCGCATAATTTCTTTATTTCTTTTTTCTGATTTTTCATTGTTATTTAGAAGAGGTCGCGTTTATTGACTTGTTATTTTCGATATTGTTAGGCACTGATCATGGAAAGTAATGTAATATTCTAGCCACGCGGACTGAACGGTTTATTCATTTATCTACGATCATGGAAAAGCGTTTCACGTAATAGTCGATTTTTCTGGACTCAAAGCGTAGAGAATTTTTTTTAGATATATGCAATAAAAGACGAACGGTAAAAAAAGTTGTTTTTCGCGAGAGCCGTAACGCGCGGTCAGGAGAGAGAGAGAGAGAGAGAGAGAGAGAAAGAGAGAGATAGGGTTAATGAGGAAATATAATGGTGCAAATAACTGGAAATTCTAGGGAGAACGTTCGTGAACTCATAATAAAAATGGAAAAAAAACAAAACAGAAAAGATATATTGTACATATAAAAATAATTACGCTTATTGTATCTCTTACTTTTAGGTAATTAACTAAAAAAATAACTGTAATTAATGTTGTTGTGGTAGGCGCGCACAGCGAATGTGTATGAAGCAAAACAAAAAAAAAGCAAAAAAATCTTTATGAATTCGGGACGATTTTAGAGGAGGAGTAATAAAGAAATTTTATCCTGGATAGGACTTATTATTTTGTTAAGGAATTTCACTCGCCTGTATATTACATAATAACATTTTTTGTCGAATCTAATTTCTGCCACGTTTGTACATATTTTAGTGATATCTGATTATTTCACTCGTTTTTCTCAAATTCACCGTTAAACGTGAAGCTCTAACAATAAGTTCTTTTCCAACTCGTAATTTCTTTGTTAAGCTATAGATCACTGTACGTACGTATCGAGGATTTATAAGTTACACATATTCAATCAGAACTCAGTTTGTACTTTCGCTTTACCGTCGTATATGTACGTTTTATATTATATTTTTCCACTTGCAAAAATTTGAATCACGTGAACGGAGGCGGTGAGAAACAAACCGTTCGTGATATGATTTTGAGAAGAACGAGCGACGTATATGCGGAGAAGAATTAAGAATTTTCCAAGAATGTACTTGTAAAAAAAAACACACACACACACACACACATTTGTTTATTTTAGTTGGAACGCTTTGAACGAAATATAGTGGTACATGGATTTTTATATAAAATTTATTAATGTTAAAACTATTGACCCAATAGCCACTTTACAAATGAACGCGTCGAGAATAAAAGGGAAATATTAAATCTTGAGAGTTTGATCGCTCCAACCAAAGACTGAGTTCGCTTTACATTTTCTGATTTGGCAAACACGAAATTCCACCGACGAAGAGAAGGCCGAATATTGTTTTATTATTTAATTATTCCGGACATTTATTGCAGACAAACTGACAACACGATAAGAGGATTGGCGTGACCTAAAGAAAGTTATTTCTCTCAAATAACTTGTACGATCAGATCCGATTAAGAAGATTCGGCCGAATTTGAACCGTGGAGCTTCGTGTTTACCCAATTCGTTGCATTCGCGGAGAAGAAAAAAAATAACATTGTACCATGTAAGTAGAGCTAAGCCGAATCAATGCAACTATTTAGAGCGATCGAACAAGAGCTATTAATCGTTTCGTGTGAACAAAAGAGGAAAATCGAAATACGGGACGAGCTTACGGATATAATGTTTAATGTGAAGCTCTTGAAAAATGAAGTTCTGAATGTTAAAGGGAAAGCAACTAAAAAACAAACAAACTTTTACGATAATATCGACGGGTGTCGAAATGCGGTGTAATCTATTATACGTGTATTTTATTCTGTGAATACGGTAGGGCTTCTGTGTCGCTGTGCGACAAGAAGATTAATTGGAAAAGGTAAAAAAAAAGAAGTACGACAATGCTCCAACCAAAGCTCCGATTCGAACGAAAATGATTGACGAGAGTAAACCGAGAGAACTTATTCTCGATATTGTACAAATCGGAGAACGCAAGGGTGAACATCAAGTTCTATGTTACTCGTAGAATGTTTGATCTAGGCGACCCTTTAATTTGTTCTTCGATGCCATACATCGTCTTGCTCTCTCGTCCCCTGATAACACCTTACGCTGAATGCATGTATCAAATTTAATTTGGTCTAAATAAAATATCATCCGATATAAATTTAAGCGTAAATTATATTTATTGCATACATTATACATATAAACACATATGAAACCGTCGAGGGCTGGCAAATAATAAAATATGACATTCCTAAATTCTCTATATCCTTATGTACTCTCATACAACTTTATTTTTGGTAGTACTTACTTACGTTACACTCGACAACGATGCTCGCAAACTTGAAGTTAACAGACTAAATGTTTCTTGTATTCAATTGTCTTTTTTTGTATTTTTAAAGATATATAAGTAGAGATGTTATCAGGTAGATGAGTTACTCCTTGTCGGTCGGACATATAAAGATTCAAACTCTATTATTGTTTAGCATTAGTAACTCTAATAAATATGACTAACACTTAATTCTATTAGGTAATGTACATATATAACTAATTGACTGTATATATTGTATCATTTGACCAATTATAATTTCATCATTAAATTGTAGTTTAATTATATGAATTCAAAAATTGGTAATATCAACAAATCAAGTATTATACTGTATCGATGTAATTACAGACAATTTGCGATTATGGATAAATTACAAGTCATATTACTTATCTATGAATACTGTTTAGGTATATTCCTTATTGTTTGTATATATATAAAAAAAAGAAATTTTCTCGTAAAACTATTTCACATTTATTTCAATTTGTTTCGAACTAGAACAGAATTTTACATTCTACTGTGTAACTACTAAGTGCAGAAAGTGTCAAAAAAACATTATTAAAGAGAAAAACTATGACAAGTAACTATTTATATATTTTTTAATAGAAATGTCTTTAATCGTGGGATTCTAAACTCACTTCGCATGCATACAGGAAATACAGCCAAGGATAGAGAGAGAACGTATTACGAAAATGAACGTGAACGTGTACGAAGTGAGTCAGAAATTCAGAATCATTGTGTGAGCATGGTATAGTATGTTGCCTAGGAAACTAAAAGACGTACCATGAGGTAGGGTTTTTGACGAGGGGGTGTTGTACATAAATGACGTCATAATTAATAAATAGGCGTGTTTAAACATTTCAAGATCTGGCAAATAATGGACAAGTCAGACGTCACTAAACTTGCTGAAGAAAATACTCTCGTACGTATACGTATATATATGTATATATGTAAATACTTCTGATATATTATTCGTTTCTTCATTAAATAATTATATTACTACATTTCATTCAATGTAATTATCAGAGCTTCGCTTTACGTTTTGCGTTAACACGTGTTTATTTTTCATTTATGATGGTAACTCATCAGCGCGATGATGGCATAAAAGAATACCTTGAGCCTAGATTTGAGTGTCCTATTTGTTTAACTTGGTTACATGATCCAGTTTTAACATCTTGTGGTCATAAGTTCTGTTCGCAATGTATATACACTTGGCTTGAGTAAGTTACGTCATTTTATTAAATAACAAACATGTATATAATTCAACACGATGTATAATTGACTTTGTATCTATGAAAATGATTTTGTTTTATAGGAAGGAAGGTGCTTGTTGTCCAGTTGATAGCAAGCCTTTAAAATCGGAAAGCGATTTGTTCAGAGACTTGTATACAAGTAGAGAAATATCGCAGCAGGTAACACCTTGTCCTTATCAACAACTTGGCTGCGAAGTTAAACTATCGCCAGTGGACATGGAAGCACATATAAATCAGTGCGCGTATAAAAGAGACCTTCCAGAATCGCAAAATGTACATTGCCTATTTAAAAGTGTCGGTTGCTTGGAGATATTTCAAACCGATGAAAACTTGCAAACACATTTAGATAAAAATACAAATATGCATTTAACAGTTAGTTTGTTTTACTTTATCATAATTAATTGTAATGCAGAATAATTACTTATTCCTTGATCTTTCAGTTGATTTTGAAAGCATTGCCACAGCTATGTCAAAGTAATGCCAGTGCGATAGCTGCAGAATCAAAATTGTGGGATGCCCCGCCAAAGAATACAACTTCTTCGGAAAAGAACGAACCATCGTTGGAATGGCAGCAATTGTTGAAGTAAATTTACTTTTTTATTTTACGTTTTACTATCTCGGTATTCTATCACGATTGAGTTGTTTATTAATTTTTTAGAAATTTGTATGAAAGAATAGTGGTGCTAGAACAGCAGATCAAAGAGTTGTCTATCACCGTTTCCAATCAAAAGACAAAACTCACTACTTTGCAAACTTCGTTACGATTTAATCAGGAAGAAATGTTTTTACGTAATTGCAATGGTATCTATATCTGGAAACTCAACGATTTCGAAGAGAAGCTTGTAAACATGACAAACGATCCATTAAAGATGTTTTATAGCCCTGGTTTCTACACTAATCTGAACGGTTACAAGATGTGTGCTAGGATCAATGTATCTTCTAAGGATCCTCAATTTTTATCACTGCTACTGCATATAATGAAATCGGAAAATGACGACGGTCTAGATTGGCCATTCAACGGAACGATGTATTTCGTTCTGGTACATCCGTACAATCGAGAAAAAGATATACGAGAAATAACTTCGTCGAGGCCCGATCTCGAAGCGTTTAGGAAACCAGTATGCGAATTAAACAAACGTAGCTTTGGATATACAGAATTTGTGCGAATACGAGATTTACCTGACTTTTTACAGAACGATTGCTTGACTTTCAGAGTCGAAGTACGAGTTTACGATAATTTTAAATACCAAATTAATTGAAAAAAATATATATAGGTCCCATTTATTTTAAAATCAACAGTGCATTGCAACTTTTAAACTCATGTTCAGGTTTTATTAACACATTGTACGCCGGCCCCGCGAAAACGCGGGATTCGAAGTCTATCGCTTGAACGCCGGCCCCGCGATAACGCGGGTTCCGAAGATTATCGCTTCAGTGCTGAGTCTGGGATAATGCAGCATTCTTTTGTTTGGCGATTTCTTTGCTCTCGTCATAACTACGTTGTCTTGAGCATCGTATACTGTAGCCAGTCATAGCCATCTTTTATAGCTTTACGCTTTTAGTTGCACAGCATAATAAGCCTCCTTATTCTGTGCATTTTTACCGCTATAATATGAGCTTATTGCGGAATCTGGTCCAAAGATTCTTCCTGCTAATAAGCAAAGCATAAAAGAAATCGTCGAAATGTTTATTGGCAATGATTTATTTCAATTGATGGTAAATGAATCAAACATCTAATATCATCAGAATGAAGACAAGATGTGTAATGGTAAAAAAATGCCTAAGTGGAGAGATGTTTCTCTAGCCGACGTGAAGAAATTTCTTGGTTTGATTATATTGATGGGCCAAGTAAAGAAAGATCGAAAAGACGATTATTGGTCCTCAGAGTTTTATACCAAAACACCATCGTTCTCCACGGTAATGTTGCGTAACAGATTTCGCCAAATTTGGGACACATGGCATTTTTCAAATAATCGTACAACAGCTGGTTTGTGCCGGCGCTCAGACTTTAAATATCTTAGATACCAGCGTACAATGTGCTAAAAATATTTTTGCATTTACGAACTGCATTTTTTGTAGGGACTTAGGTACTTAATTGAAAATTGATTTCATATTTTTCATATGTAGATATTTGTTTTTAGTAATCCGAACTGTTTTATGCATTGAGCTATATACCGATCTCGAAGCGTTTAGGAAACCAGTATGCGAATTAAACAAACGTAGCTTTGGATATACAGAATTTGTGCGAATACGAGATTTACCTGACTTTTTACAGAACGATTGCTTGACTTTCAGAGTCGAAGTACGAGTTTACGATAATTTTAAATACCAAATTAATTGAAAAAAATATATATAGGTCCCATTTATTTTAAAATCAACAGTGCATTGCAACTTTTAAACTCATGTTCAGGTTTTATTAACACATTGTACGCCGGCCCCGCGAAAACGCGGGATTCGAAGTCTATCGCTTGAACGCCGGCCCCGCGATAACGCGGGTTCCGAAGATTATCGCTTCAGTGCTGAGTCTGGGATAATGCAGCATTCTTTTGTTTGGCGATTTCTTTGCTCTCGTCATAACTACGTTGTCTTGAGCATCGTATACTGTAGCCAGTCATAGCCATCTTTTATAGCTTTACGCTTTTAGTTGCACAGCATAATAAGCCTCCTTATTCTGTGCATTTTTACCGCTATAATATGAGCTTATTGCGGAATCTGGTCCAAAGATTCTTCCTGCTAATAAGCAAAGCATAAAAGAAATCGTCGAAATGTTTATTGGCAATGATTTATTTCAATTGATGGTAAATGAATCAAACATCTAATATCATCAGAATGAAGACAAGATGTGTAATGGTAAAAAAATGCCTAAGTGGAGAGATGTTTCTCTAGCCGACGTGAAGAAATTTCTTGGTTTGATTATATTGATGGGCCAAGTAAAGAAAGATCGAAAAGACGATTATTGGTCCTCAGAGTTTTATACCAAAACACCATCGTTCTCCACGGTAATGTTGCGTAACAGATTTCGCCAAATTTGGGACACATGGCATTTTTCAAATAATCGTACAACAGCTGGTTTGTGCCGGCGCTCAGACTTTAAATATCTTAGATACCAGCGTACAATGTGCTAAAAATATTTTTGCATTTACGAACTGCATTTTTTGTAGGGACTTAGGTACTTAATTGAAAATTGATTTCATATTTTTCATATGTAGATATTTGTTTTTAGTAATCCGAATTGTTTTATGCATTGAGCTATATAAAACATAGCTCAATGGTTTTATGTGAAAGAAATGTATTCCGTCCGATAATGTGATAAAAACTAATAGTTCTACTTTTTTGTACGATTATAAATGTTTATAATACAAAAAATAAATGTTGGTATGTATTTAAAAATTGTCATTACGTATAAAAATTAAAAATAGTAATTCATTTATAAAACCAAATTGTATTTGAGATGGGTTTTTAACAAGGGTTTAACAATAAGTAGGAGTGTTTAAATTCGTTTTTATACTTAGCTCAGTTTTCAATGGCGACGAATGGAAGCTTTGTAAAATGTACAAGGAAGACTCTTCCTATCCGTCCACTTACTTAAATAGTAAGCTGAAACAAATTAATTATTTTTTCTCTCAAATATCAGAATTGTCGGCCAGTATAAACGAGATTTATAAACGTAAAATTTGTACCTGTACGGATAGCCCTGTGCTTTGTTTCTAAATATTGAAAGCAGCAAGCTAAAGAAGATAGCGACCAAACCCGCCCCGATTGCAGCGAATATTCGACGTTTCTTTACATCCCCTTTACGTGATGCGGCCTCAATCATTAATATCATACCTAACGCTACTGCTCCATCTAATCACGCATGTTATTAAAGAAAATATCAAAATAGCATGATGCTATATATTGATGATTGAATAAACTGGAGTTTCTTAGAAAGGATACTAAAAACCATGACGATATAAGTTTCTAAAACAAACTGCCCCTGGGAAGATGCATGTATGTACATATAAGCTGCCTTCCCACCAGACGATCGATGCATGAACGGTGGTCCTCTAATGTGGTTCCACATTTGTCCAGATGTCATAGTCAATGTAAAGAACTGTAAAAACGTTATTTTACAACAAGGTATTATTTAAATGAACTTTGTAAAGATTCTTACCAATGCTCCAAGCCCCCAAACTGTTTTATTATAAATGAAATCTAAGTTGTTGCGCCTTATGTACAGGAATCCTCCAATGAGTACAAGCAACATTATTATTGCTACTGTACCAGAATAATTTGGTGGTCTAAGCACTCTTATCTGCAATGTGTTTAAAAGACTCAATCACTGTTTCGATAAACTATTTTCGAATCATGTGTACATGATTGGGATGGGGAACTAACGGCCAATATTTTCTGTGAGGTCTTATTTATCTTTATTAGATAAAAGACACATTTTTTGTCATCTATCAAAGTACTGTCATCCTAAATTGTTTTATTTCAAATACCACATATAATCGTTCAAAAGTTCGATGCAGTCATTCCGCTACTTCAGAATAACTACTAATTTTGCATATGGCCTTTGATATAAAAAATGTTTCCCATCCCTGGTATATCATCTAAGTTACCTGAATTTCAGTTCGCTCAGATATCCATTTTGCAATCGCCTCGGCACCAAAACCTATTCTTTCAATATCCATAGTATCCGCAGGCTTCGGTTTGCCTTTTGGTGGGAAATGCATATAAACCGGAGCAGTATTTATTCTCATCTATACATAAGAACATTGAAAGTTACTTATATTCATCAGAATCTCAATTCTTTACATACCATTTGGAAGACGTCTGATCCTTCGTCGAAATCGACAGATGCGAAGAACAATTTCTTGGAATGAGATTGCAAGTATCTGAATGAGTTCGCTACTATTATAAATTCATCGTTTGCGTGCCTGAAAGATTGGTAAATATAAATCATGTCAAGCACAGGTAGTTAAAAATCAAAGATAAATTCTACCTGCATATTTGGCATTGCCTTTGAGGCGCCATAGCAGTGAACATTACAACAACGGAATAGTTCCTTGGGGTACTTTTCACAAATTCTTTAAATCTAGCACCATTGAATTTCATTACCGGTCTTGTCAGAGCTAGTTCTGTTAATTGTTGCACGCGCTCTGACAATGAGGAGCCTTGTACCTGAAATTTATTGTTTTCAGTTGTAATAATAATAAAGTACGGTGAAGATCTCTAAGCCAATTTTCTTCTAGATTAAGAGGAAACATATTTTATGTGGATCTTTAAACAATACTTAATAAACTGCTTTATTAACCCGTTTTTCGTATAGTATGCAAAATAAGCCGAGAAATTAATTCGATAGCTCATTGTAATTGAATTCTTACATTTTTCATCCTATATTGACAACACACATAACTGAAACTTGAAATAAGTCCCAGGAATATAATGAACTTCTTATAATCCATCGTGAAACGAACTGAACGAATGTAAATATGTTACATATATTCTATCAGAGAAAAAATTATCAGATTTTCGTGTTCTCCATACTAGTGCTGCCAACATTCAGGGAGTCGTGGTCCTGAACTGAAATCCTGAGCTGAGCAATTCTCCCTCCCCTTCACGGCTTTCGCCTCACCGGCTTTGCTTGCGGTGGTGAACAGGTTCTGAACGTTGTCAACATCACAACATGTTACATTTACATTACAATCAGATAATATTTTACGAATCATGGAATTAGAACAAATACATATTTTAACAATGTGTCCATTAATTGCATCCCGATTTGCAATTCAGTGAGTAGAGGACAGACACATATCTGTTTTTACACAGATTGATGATGTTTGAGGTTTTTGTAATGAGTATGTAACGTCCATAGATGAAAGGAATGATTTTGATGTATTTTAAGTGAAAACCTATTTTATAAATAATGGAAGTAGAGGAAATATATAATTTGACGATATCGCCATTAATTGCATCCCGATTTGCAATTCAGTGGTCAGAGGATGATCACATATCCGTTCTTACAGAGAGAGGAGCTCATATACTTGTAAGTTTCTCGTAATTTATATTTCTTAATACAAAGTTTTAGAGAAACATATTTTTTCTACAGGAGTTTGTACCTTCTCCGATGTCTTTTCAATCAACGTTGAAGTTCTCCAAATCATTTATTTACACGCCTTTAACACTACCAACGGAATCTTTCTATACCAAGCTAAAATCAAAAATTTGGAGCTTGGATCCTGAAGCATTTCATTCGTTACTGATGGAGGAATCTCTAACACCAAAAATGCCTAATATGAAAGAGATGGTGCCGAGAATAATTGATCTGGCATGGTCACCGCACGGTTTGATAGATCCAAGAAAATGTCTCATTGCGATTTTAACTTCGACGGGGGCAGTTACGATTGCGTTCAAAGTATCCAAGGAGTGGTACACCGCGTTCGATTTATCTGCCATACGTTGTAGAATCACGGATCAAGAAATGAATACGAGATCAAAGAACAATAAATACAGCTCGATGTTGGCTAGAATAAGAAGTAGCTTGAAATGGTTACAAGCTTCTTCTTTCGCTTGGAGCAAACTTTTCTCCGATTTCGCCTACTTCGCCGTTGCATATCGTAGCGGGGATATAATTATTTATCGAATCCCGAGCGTTACTGATTACATCGAAATCCCTGATCCCAATATCGTGGGCACGGTAACATTGAACGATCAAGTAAGGATAAACGTTCTGCATTGGATCACGATCGACGCGGAGGAGCATCTGATCATTGTCGGATATTTTGACGGACGTATTTACGGACTTACGATTAGTGTCAGGGATCAGAACTTCGAACTCGAATCTATTGAGAAATATTATGTTCACGCAGATCGTATTCCTGTCGGAGCTATAAGAACACTGTCCGAGGATGAATCGAATAAAAAGATTCTCGTTGCGAAGGGCAGCTTTTTATTTCTACTGCGTCTCACGACGCACGGCACTCTGGAAAGTATGCAACATTTGCAATTGGAAGGTTTCACGATTTCAGGTGAATAAAACTTACTTATCACTGTTACAACTACTTTAAGTAAACTATCCCGATTCGATTCTAGCGGATTTTATGCATTGATAAGAAAACTGAATGTGCAGAAATTATTCTGTACGATATACCGTTGTCGATTCTTATTATATACTGTCTTCCAGCCACCATAATCTGGGTTAATGATAAAATAAATGTTTATATGATAACTGATACTATAAACATTTTATTTTGCATAAAAATCCGCGGTCTACTTATCACATAATGTGGAGTGTCACGAAATTCTTTATTACAGGAATGATTTGTATAAGCAAAGATTGCGCGTTGGTCACCACCGAGAACGGTTGCATGTTCATGGTGAACGCGGAAGGTGACCAGTTTTCAACAACGAAGCTGGACAACAAATCGTCGCAAGCTAATTTACGGCATTTGGGCCTGGCGCGTTCACCGAATTCTGTGATTTTAATAAACGTGACTGTACCGGCCACTACGTACGATCATTTGTCAGTGAAAGAACCGAGCAAAATGCAAGTATTCGTTTTAAAAAACGAAGAGTGGAATCCTTTATCTCTTCTAACGAGGCTCAAGAATGAGAGGTTCAAGCATGCGTGGGACTGTTTAGAAGTGCTCAGGATTAGAGCGACACGGGTATCGGACCCGCAAGAAGTATTACCGAAGCTACCCTCGAATTTGAAGTCTCTAACTCTACACGAGCTACGAATCGCTATGTGGACCTCGATGATGATAGAGATATGTGATAAGAAAAAGATAATCCAGGGAATAGGGAGTATCGTCGGAGAAATATCCGACGCTCAACCGTTGATATTTCTCTACACTGCCTGCGATTATCTCGCTATCCTGGAACGTAAAGCGTTTATATCCACAGAACAGACACTTTCTGTTAGTTTATTAAAACATCACTTGAACACGTATTTAGCTAAAAATAATGACGATTCTCAGCTTTCGAATCTTGTTAGAACTACTTTAAGTAAACTATCCCGATTCGATTCTAGTCACAAAGAGACTTGCAATTTATGCGGAATAACGATAGAAAGTCCGTCCTGGAAAGTGACCATGTGCTCGCAAGGTCATTTATTGCCCAGATGCGCGATCACTCTTTTGCAAATAACTATGATGAATTATAAAAAGTGCCCAATATGTGGTTTAATATTTCATCACTGTTTGGAGGATGTATATGGAGAAACGAGATGCCTCTATTGCGATGTACCCGCGTTGGAAGATAATAGGCTTATAGGTTCAAGATCTGTACCTGTAGATAAAAGTTTGTCAAAACCGCGGGGTAATAATCTGGAGAGTATAGGTGATCAGGAGACGAAGGCAGCAATGGATGAAACCTGTTAATTCATATAATTTAATGTAAATTTCGCAAGAACAAATAAAATAAGCTCTTCTCATTTTTATGAAATTTTGTACAGAGTGTATAAAAATTATATATATATGTTTTGAGATGTTGAATTCAAGAGGCCACATGTATATAATGCTCTCACAGGTGTCACAGGTGCAATAAAAATATGTACCTAGATCATAGATAGGCGAACGCGGAGAAAGATCAAATTACAAAAAGACATTGTCCTTTCGGCCAATAAACTTGTTTTTGCCTAAATAGGAAAAGAATTATATCCAGTCTTTATTTGCATAATACCTTTTCTCCTCACATTCGAAACTCATTTAGACATTCTCCTAATAAATATT